TGACCACCCTTGGACCGCCACAATCTTGCATTTAATTGCTGACTCGTACAGGTCCCTCGCGATTGAAAGCTCCGAACAAGGGTACGCTGAGCAGGCGGAAATGCACTCTCGACAAGCTCTCGAGTTGAGAGGGAGGTTGTTGGGATTTCATCAGGATACTGCTCGCTCGCACGTCTTTCTTAGCGATGTTTTAGTCATTCAGGGAAATTTCCAATCGGCTTTGAACGAGCTTAAGAAGGCGCTTAAAATCCAGCAAGAATTGCTAGGTCCTCGACACAAGAACACCACTGATACATTGAACAAAATGACAGATTTGCTGGCAAAAATGGCATGCAAAGACAAGACAAAGGAAACGTAAGGAAATGAGAGAATACCTAAGCATGTTGAAACGCTAATGCAAACAATCACAAGTAGCAAGAATCTTAGTTTCAATACGTCCTAATTGTTTTACTGTAGAGGGAATATTGAACATGTACGTGAATTTCTAAAGTGGGATGAAAAACTGGAAAAAAAATACACTCCAAATGGCGGACATCTATGCATGCGAGACTATTACGGACAGCTAGCAGTTCATTTACATGCACATTATTTATATCAATTACTGTATTCAAAACTATTTATTTCTGATGTGGATATTTCATTGCTGACAGTGACAAAACTTTTTTAAACTGCAAGTTATCTGATTGATAAATATCAGCATTAGACTTTGCAAAGCATTGCATTGTGCATGACATAAATTTCTTTACTTACTAAATTACAGAGAAATCCACCAGATAACGCTCCATTACAGGTTTCCATGGGGTGCAATGGTTTTAAATAAAGGGACAATGTTGGGTAGCTGGATCAGTTATGCTCCCTTATCAGGTCCATTAATTCTTAAAATAACTGCCACATTTACTCATTATGTATTCATCAGCTCTGATGTAGAGTAGCCTCTGACCAAATGTCCGAACATAATTTAACCAACTCAAACCAAAGATCAGTAACAAAAATAACTCCACTGTGCCGATACACTTGTTGTCTTATAATTGATTGTTCTGCGTTAGGATTGGTTTTTTTTTTTTTCAATGTCACTAGCAAAAAAATTATACAGTTATCGTGATAATCATAATCATGATTTAGCAATGCTCGGCTAATATTATTTAGAAAACTAAATAAACAACTAATATTAGTTGGTGTTGATGGGAACGTGCTTGGATTACCTCTATCTGTTGATGGTTGTAAGCAGACAAGGAAATGCTTGATAACTTACTTTCTCGTTGTCGATCAGGTATTATTAGGTGAGAGTTTCACTTTCCATTGCATACAGTCGAGTGTGCTTTCGTCATCTTGGTCTGTAAGGTTCTTGTGTTCACATTGCTCGGCACGTGTTTCTCTTATTATTCGTGTCAGAATTGTCTGGTTTAGTTATACACACACAATTTACTTCCACACACTTAGTGCTATTCTTGTTGCTGACATGGGCGATTTAATCTTAAAGTTACGACTTCCTTATTGTTACATTTACATTTTGGCCCGACGAAAACGCTAAGTTGACGGATTAACGGCGTTTTTCTGCATTCTTTCTTTCAGTGCCCTTGAAAGCCCAGAAAAGACCGTTGCTTTGCTGGAAGAGGAGTTGGATTCACTCGAGGAACTCAAACTTACTCACCAAGCTATGTCTGTTGTCCCCAAGGGCTTGGGAGTCGAGAGGGAAATGGAACTGAAATTTGCGAAAAGATTGAATTCCCCGGATGTTCCTTTGGAAATCTCCGAGACTCACGGAGAAAAGGAAGGGGTGGTGTCTTATCCTGCACCCATCAGCAGTAGACAAGCAGGTAAATGCCGGAAGTGACTGCATACCCTGAGGTGGATACATGATTTTAGAGAAAGGGATTCGAGATACGGACCGTCGTAGACGGTCCCCTGTAGAGGGGTCGATGGGTGGGGAATCCTCCCCCGCAAAATGTCTTAAATTGAGGTCCTCGGAAATGGAATTTCCGGAATTCTGAGGCCAAGCCAGCGTGTTATAAGATCTATTGTTTCTCACTTTAGGGGGCTCGATCGAGTCCCCCGAACCCTCCTAGATACGCCCCAAACACCGAAAAGCATGACTTGAAAACTATTAAGCGACATCACAGGGGTCATTCTATTGGCGAACGTAAACCAGCTTCTGTTTGAACGCTTGATACGAGCTAGGCGTTCTCCGAGTGACAACACTCTTCGGCCGTTGTTGGATCTTTATAACGGCGTTAGGATATGTTAAATCAGCACCAGGTCATGCTGTTTCAAACCGTGTTGTGAAAAACCGCTAACTGAGTTGTGTCTCTGACGCAGTGAAGCAAGATACAGAATGCTTAGCCTAAAAAAAACTGGACAGACTTCGAACAAGTTTTATTGCTTTGTTTGTTGGGAAATATTTCATTCTTGTTTTTAAGTTTGCATCGTACGAAAAAAAACCTATCACAGGCCAAACGTGTACAAAATTGGATGACCTAGCCTAATTATATAGCAAAGTTACTGGCATGAGTTGAACGTTAACTTTTACGTGTACTATTAAGACAAGAAGAGCGAGAAAATGAACGGCGAATGTAAAAAGAACCGTCTCTTACTGAAAAATAAAATGTCTTTTAACTACAGTTATAAGTAATTTAAAAATTGCCTCAAGACGGAAGACGAAAACTGCACTCTAGCGTCCTACCAAATGAGCTATCGTAGCGTGGCATGAATATATGATGCCGTTATTGACTGTTTAACAATTATGCGTAGTTGTTAATCGCTCGGCTATAAAGTATTCAGTCCAAAAAAAAAAAAAATGACACAGAAATAATGTCGGCGAAATTTGAGATCCATAGTTGTAATATCCGAGCTTCACGAATGATTTGTTTTTATTATACACCTTTTTTTTTCTATAAGAATATAATTAATAAGAATATCGGAGCTGAACTTTGCGAAATTTTAAGAATATTTTAAGAATAAACCTGAGGCTGAGATTTTGAAAAGAATATAATTTTGTGAGTTGAAAGTTTAACTAAACCGTACAAAATTTTTCCTTTCCCTAAACGGCATAACGAGTCAAAAAACAATGAAAAAACAGCACTGGCCGTGTGTTCGATGCTAAAAACATTTCTGCAAGAAGTTATGTTCGTCATATCAGTCTTTAATGCCTGCAGTCCCGCTCCAAAATTACTGTGGCACCATCCAGACACCAAATACATTCGAAAAGCAGGAATGGCATACTTTGCTATCTAAAAATATTCACAAGGATATTTTTAGCCTAAAATCGACCGAAAAATAAGTGTATTCAGCCTTTTATACAACATCCTTGTGTATAAAAAAAAGTGTGTAGAAACGCTATTACAGGGAGTGTATCGACAAGTTGCACACAATTGTTTATTTATTGGTAAATATTCAGCCAAACCAAACCAAACATTTGCCGTTTTAATACAGTCATACAGCAGGACTTTCCACTAAATATCAGAAATAATGGTCCTTTAGTCGAGCTTTACGAATTATTTAATTATTTAATTTTAATTTTAATGCGAAAGAAGAAAAAAAGAAAGAAGATCACAAAATACAATAATAATGAGAATAAAATTGTATAAAAAAAAGCCACAACGATGGCCTGGCATGTAGTTTAAACACAAGCCTGGTAACGCGTAGAAACTACTAAGCTCGTTAGAACACGCAATTGCGTAAACTGATTAAGCAAGGTAAAGAGAAGCAATTCAATAAAAAACATAATAGAGGTAACTTGCATGTATAAGAGCTATGAAAGAATATTTTTTGTTAGGAAAATACATGGGGTAAAGTGAATTTTGATATTAGTTTTCTTTTCCGTATTTTCCTCTGTAGTTGATGAGCGTGTCATCCGGAATGAAACAATGAAGTTTGAAGCTGAGCATGAGGAATGCGTCCGCGTGTTGCCATATTTGAATAATGGTGAGGTTGAGATACATCTGTACGTTTATGGAGACAAAAGGGGGATACCACCTAAACTAGAAAAAGCTGCGCAAGCTTTCTTTGGACAGAAGGGCTGGAAATTAATATGGGCAGATCTGTACAATGACGCATTTAATTTACTGCAAATTACATCCATCGAGTATTCGTCTAGAGAACCAAAAAGGTTAGAGGCATCTCAGGTTGATGAAATCGAAGAAATTATCCACAATCATCTTCACGTCTTCTCTAAGCATCGAAACGTTACTGCTGTACAGCCGTCTTTCAAAGTCACAAAATCAGTGCAGACGGAAGAGGCATGTATTGTGGTTTACGTTCTTGGGAAAGGACAAATCCCAATGGGCGAAAAGGCAATTCTACACGCTATTGGCCCTTACCGAGTGGACATCGTCAACGGCTTTTGTGTTAGAACAAAAGATCCGTACATGCCCAAAGAGGCGCATAAGCAGAAGGATTTTCTACGTTTGGGAGCAAGCATTGGGGTCAATGGCAAACAATCATCTGGTACCTTGGGTGCTATTGTGGAAGACGAAAATAGTGGTACCTTGTACGTACTGTCCTGTGATCATGTGGTGAACGATGCTGATGAGTCGGGGATAATTCATCCTGGATTGGATGTCTACCTCGATTGCTTACGTTTCAATTTGAAAGGATACAAAGATTGGATAAACAGAATCACTGACGTTGATCTCCAGCTACCTCCAATTTCAGATGACAGCTGCGAGGAAACTGAATTACAGAAGATATTCAACGACCTAAAAACCAAAAAAGAGATGCACGTTGACCCCAAAGGATGCTCCAACAGTGCCATGGAGCAAATTGCGATATTCGAAAGAAACCTCGAGGAAGCTTTAGGTAAAAGACCAAGAGTCATAGCAAGCTACAGTGCTGGTGTCAGATGCAATGTGCGCTCAGAAATGAACAGCAGAGAACATTTTATTGATGCTGCCATTTCTGAATTGAACGACGACGAAGTAAAGAATTTAAAAGCTGAAAAGTTCTTGCAAATAATTGATACAACACATTACCCAAGCGGCATGTGTATCCCAGCAACAACAAATGCAACAATGGATGTTGAAGAGCTATTTAAGAGTGGTAGTGCTACAGGTTTCACCGAATCAAACCGTATTCTTGGTATTTCCCAAAGACTTCCAACATTTATCAAAGATTTTCGGCCAAATGGTGACTGTGCATGGATTGATGTGGATTGTATCAATTGCAAGAAAAGGAGAGCAGCTCAATCCCAAGTTCAAGAGCTGCCTGATCCATGTGAACAGTGCCAGGAAGATAGATGGCTTAAGAGCTGCTTGTGCATCCAACAGCATGGACGGAAACCGTTCTCTGATAAGGGTGATTCTGGAGCTGTGATTTTTGAAAAGCGTAGAAAAGAGAACCGAAACGATTATCAACTTCCCTCTCATGGGTTTGGAATAATCTTTGCAGAACTTCCAAGTCAAAATGGCAATTTTGCAATAGCCTCGCCATTAGAAATTGCACTCAAAGCACTGTCCCAGAAAGTCTCAGAATCGAGACCCAATGGTAAACCTTGCCAATTAAGACTGGCTTCAAGCTTTAGGTAATTAAAACAAACTGTTACTGAAGAGAGTATTTGAAGCTGCAAACTTCATCAGGAGTCTCTGAGAAGTCCGTCGTTTTGCACCAAGTCAGCGTTAGATGCGCGTTCAATTTTAATGTAAGAACTTTCTTATCTTGTGTGATGTAGTCAGGAGAAGGCTGCCATTAGTGACTGACATTTTGACAGTCTAATTGTGTAAAACTGAAACGAAATGCTACAGGATGTGTATGATTGATTGTTTTGTGCTCATCGACTAGTTTAAAAGGCTCAGAAAAATTATAGGTGCTGGTGAAATGGCTACAAGAATTTTTCATTTCGTTTAGAGGTACATTCTGTCCTGTTTGTGTAAGCTGGGTTAATGCACTGTTAAAAAAATAGAAGAGCAGTCAGTAGGTGAAAATTAATTGGTTCTTCATCGTGGTACAAAATCGCAAAAAGCTAAACGTTAATACTTTAATTGATATTATTATGTTCGAACTTTTAGTTTTCTTTTTACTACATTGTATTTATAATGTATTAGAATGTCATTAGAGTTTTGTAATTAAGGCCTGATGCTTTAATTACAAAATTGCTTGTATATCACGTTTAATTCATTGGTAACTGAATGAAAAGCAAAAAAAATGATTAGCCCTTCTTTGATAAAAGTGCATGCCAGGAAATCGTCAAATAACATTTGTACCAAATATATACCCACACAGTTTACATCAAACCATTAATTAACATAAAAGTATGAAGGAAAAGTAGTACGTAAAAATAGACTGCTTTTGTTATAGGGCTTTAAGAAACCTTAGAAGTCACTAGACTTAAGGTAGGTATGTTCACTCTACGAACCAGTTTCAAACAGTAACAACTTGACAAGATGTCAAGCTTTGGTGCACAGAGAGTACTTGTAAGACTTAGTTAGAAATTGCTTTTCGAATATTTGTAGGAAAGCAATTCTTAGCGTAATGTTGCGCCTGTGTATCAGATGAAAGAAAACAAGTTAACTATATTTAAGAAATAAGACATTTGCTTGAAATAGTCTATCCTTGGACACTAGTGAATCTGTAACAAAATACATGTCATTTATATGATTAAAAATAAAAGAAGTGCTTTATGAGGTAAAATCACATTATGCTACGTGCAGATGATTACACTACCATAGTGAACTATGAAATGTTCGTGTAGCGGGGACCGCAGAGACCATTTTTAAGTGGTAGGGCTTAAAATCAAACATAACGGGTTGACGACCACCGTTCCGCTGTTTTGTTACTTTCAGTTGGTAAAATTCATACATTATGCATGTGATCTGGAGCCGTAAAAAATCAACCCAAGTGGTAGGGCTTAAAGTGCACCTAACCCCCCCCCCCCC